GGAGTGGTGAAATCTACGTACTAACCACACGTACCCCTTAACCCATGGCTGCGAGGCACGGACGTCGCCGATAGGCCTGAGCCTGTTCATACATACATACATACATGTATCAAAGAGCGATTTAAAAAAGTGATGTTAGTCCCATTTTGGGCGAACACACTGTATTTTATAAAATTGCAAAAAGTTAATATTGCAAAGAAAATACAATATCGAAGGAGGAGATTTTTTATTTTAAATGATATCTGTTCAAAAAATCAGGTCTTTAAAAAGGTCATGTACAGTTTTTTGAAAAACTATTAGTTTCACGTAATTTCTCCTAGAACTTAATGCAAATTATAAAAAAAACACTTTCTCAAAAACCTCTCGAAATTTTTTCTTCAAATTGTTTCCACGGATATAAATAGGAACGCTTATGAAAATGACGGAGGTATAATTTTCGTTGAAAACTCTGAATTTTCGAAAATTGCAAATTTGCATGTTATTAGTTTTGCTTTGAGTTATCACTGCATGAAATCTGTGGAAAGGCGAGGCAGATGAGCGTTCTCTACTTACATGGCATTAAATAGATCATAATCTTGTCATCAATTACACTGCAAGTGAATAGTGTATTCTAATTGATGTCGATGAGAAGCGTGAGCAGTTCAAAAAATACGCGGGCTGACGTCATAAAACACAATGTACTTTATTTATGTTACATGTCTGGGTCTCTTTCAACACATTCTCCTTACCAATACAGACATTTATCCCAACGGAGTTTCCACTTGTTGAAACAGTCCTGGTACGCTTCTTCTGTAATGTTCTTCAGCGCCTTCGTCACATTTGCCAAACTCTCGCGAATCGTCTCAAATCTTCTTCCTTTCAAGGGTCTTCTGAGTTTGGGGAATAAGAAAAAGTAACAAGGAGCATGATCAGGTGACTAGGGGGGGGGACAATGATCGAGGGTGTAGCCAAAAACATACGAGGTCAGAGAGCTGAATGGGCTGGAGTGTTGTTATGATGTCAACCGCCGCTCCTCCTCATTTCTGGCCTTCTGCGATGAATGGCGTTTCAGAACTTTACTGAAGTAATTCTGGTTCACTGTGGAGCCTTCAGGGAGATAATCGTGGTGAACCACACGCTTAACATAAAAAACTGTTAGAATCACTTTTGACCTTCGGTCGAACTTGGCGAGCTTTTTTGTGTCTGAGGGACGTCTCACCCCTCCCCTGGGCCTTTTAGACCTTTGTTTCAATGCCGTAATTATAAACTCATAATTCATCATCTGTTATGAACCTCGACAAGAAGTTTTTATCTTCTTCTGAACGATCAAACACGACGGGGTTTCTGTCATCAGGAGTGGCACAAATTTCACAAAAACGCGTAGCATCTTCAATTTTTCAGTCAAAATCTCGAATCAATCTAGTGACAAGATCAAACTGATAACCCACACTCTTCAAAAAGCTCCCTTACAGTCCAACGTCCATTTTTCCGGACCAGGGTATTGATTTTGCCGACTAGTGGGTCGTCAGTTGAGAGGAAGGGCGTCGAAAACACCCATCATTTTCAATGGACTGTCGACCATCTTTAAATCGCCCATGGTTCATGAAACGTACCTTACGCTTCATAGTAACATCACCGTAAGCCGTGTTAAGCACAGCGAAAGTTTCTACCGAAGGGTTTCCAAGTCTAACATAAAATTTCACAGTAATTTGTTGGTCTTTCAGGCTAGTCATTCTGAAATGCGCCAAATGAAAAAATCGCACTTCACCAAAAAACACGTAGCTAATAAACAAATTAAGATATATTAACAGTGTTCAAATCTAGCTATATTAAGCGGATTTTCTCAGAATAAATTGGAACCGCGCAATTCCTCGTATTTTGTTAACAGGCCATGTAGTTGTATCACATTCTGTGCTTTCATACACGCATGGATTGCTGATTTACGATAAAAGGGACATAGACTTCGCCGATCTGCTTGTAGCCGATCTGCTGTATAGTCCCGAGATGATATGTGCTGCTGCATTAATTTATACATTTATTTATCAGTGTTTAAAAAAGTGTATGTGACGTGTGTAGAAGTACAATCGCGCAGATTTAATTACATCATACGGTTACATCATTCAATTACACCATACCGTGGTGTTATATAACCATCGCCATTCCAGGTAGATTCTTCACATTTTTATCAATAAGTGTAATTTGGAGATTGTAGAGATGACATTCAATTTATGTTTATTTCTCATTATTAAAATTGTCAAGAGACGAATTAGTTGATTTTTTTATTGAGTAAAATTTGAAATCAAACTCAGTCGGAATTTAAATTTTGACTCTCACGGTGCTGAAATAAGACATGGATGAATGTTTTAAATTGTCCATTTCCAATCTTACTGGGAAAGTATTTACTGAACTTATTCAATCCTGAGCGATTATTTTGTTGTTTTCTTTTGTGTATTCAGTCATTTATACATGCAAATACCGACTAAATGTAGTATTACCTGATATACTCGTGAGTCGACCTATTTGAATCAGGACATAAGTACTTGAAAGGTAGCTCACCATGCACAGGTTAACACACGTTAAAAGACAAGAACTCAAGACTTCATACTCTCGAAGCAGGCTCTTTAGCCACATATCTCGCTCTCGTAACCCGTTCAGCATTTCATTTGCAAATCAATTTGAACCGCCAGCATTGTAAGTGCTAAAGCTGCCGCTTTGACAAAACCGTCAACAAAAACCAGTCGGCGCATTGTTTCTGGGTCAGCGCCGCCCGAAGGTCGTGGCGCATGAGGGCAATTAGCCCAGAGACTAGATATCGCCTGGCCCGCCGAGGGGGGCGCTCCCGAATAGGCCGGGCAACTGCACCGTTATCAGGTGTTATTAACACGCACTGTTGGTGACTTCAATAAGAGGGAAGGTTGGCTATGTGTATCTGGGGTGATTACAGACTATCGATCATGAGTTCGATGGAATTTGTGGACGATAAAGGGGGTGGCTTCAGGTTTCTGCGCGGTTGTAGTTAGTTCTCTGGTAGCCATTGCATCATTGATGTTATCATTCATACAATCGTAAATTATAATTTGCGTCTTAACGATTTACTAACCTACTCGTAGATACGGAGTTAGAAAAATACTCAGGAGTAACGGATGACGTAGAATATCGGTTTTCTGGAAGTAAATGGCAAAACATTGGTCACAAATTGAAAACAACAATTCCAATTTTTTTAAATACTAAATATTTGTCAATTTAGTGATTCTATGTTCACATAAAAAACGACAAAAACGTATATATAATAAGTTAATACTATTATCCAGAAATATTTAAAAACTAATTGAAATCGCTATTTACTCAAACACAGCGGACACAATTTTCAAAATCCGAGTATAATAGTGAAATATTGTGCATTTCTACTGGTATAATTGTTACTAGAAAAGATAACAGTGAAAATTAAAAAAAATCTCGTTCTAAAATATCTTATTGACATCCTCCCCGTTTTCGGTTTTATCGCCGTTCAAGATATAAAACAATAAAGTAGTTACTTCTTGTGTTGAATGCATATATTAATTATAAAGAAATTCATTATATTAGAAAGAATCAATAAAATAATTGATTTATTTTCCAATTATAAATCAGTGGATTTAAAATTAATGTTTTAGCAGAAGTGGTATTAAAAACAAACTATTTATTCAAATGTGTATTTTTGGGAAAGTTCGAGTTATTTACCCAAAAATAAAAAAAACTGAGGTCATGATTTTCGTGACCTCATTACTTAAATCTTGACTGGGTTATATACCAGCTTTAGTATAGATGTTTTTTTATTCTTTGCTACTGCCGCTCCTTCTCAAACACGTGATAAAATTCTGTCAAGCGTGTCCTGCTGTTCTGCCAGAAGGACTGACGAAATAGAATTTGCGAAACGGACAAATGGTCACAGTTTATTTACATAAAACATACATGTTCAACCGTCGTTTCGGTCAACTCTCACGTACCGTTTGTACTGAGATACCTTCAATATCCAAAACTTTCACGTACAGTAAAGTTCAGTTGTTTCGAAATGCACAGAAAATTCTCAGAATGTCCACTCAGGTGGAAGAACACCTGAGAGGCGCGAGTTCGTCTCTGGCTCGAGGCCCGCCGACCCCGATACAAGGAAAGAACTGCTTAACAAAGCTACCTGCTTGAAAGAAATGGTGATGCGGGTCAGTGAGTTAATAAATAAGTGCACAGGAAGGAAAAATAAATGACACGATCATTAGATGAGTGACTGGTTCGGTAAGAATCATGGAAATGATGGAGGAACAAAACGAATGGCGTGAATGGGTAGGTATAAGCGTCGTTATGAATTTGTGCAGATCGGTGCGTGCTTGAGGATGATGGAAAACTAACATTTGGAGAAGAGAGGAAATAATGTACAATTTATAAGTAAATTATTACTTATACTAACATTATGTGATGAAAAACAAAAATGGACAAAAATACGGTAGGTAGATTACGATAAGTGGATTGGGCAATAGTGAGTGTGAGGGAATCAAAAATGAAGATAACGAATAATAGAAATTAAAACAGAAACGAAAATATTTAAAATGTAAAAAAGTTAATAAAACAGCAAAAAACAATTAAAAGTGTCCGAAAAAAAACAATCTACTTACAAATTGTACATACGGAGAGAGGGGACCTCGACCGGAGAGACGGCGGTGGGCGGCGCCGCCGACGGGGGCCACGCGGGCGGGAGCACGCAGACAAATCGGTGGGCGGGTCCGCGGGCGGGCGGAGGGGCAGGAGGGGCGGGGAGGCCCAAGGATGGTACGGGCGAGCGGCCATCGGCGGGGCGACCGGGCGACGTGCGGGATGGGCAACGGGCAACGTTTCTGCAAGCGTCGCCGGCGTCGCCGTGGTCGCCCGGGAGGGGCGGGGGGGGAGGGCATGGAGTGATGCCATCGGCCATGCGACCGCCATACAAATCGGCCGGCGACCCTCTCCCCGGCGCAGTGCTCCCCGGGCGTCGCGGCGCGGTGGCAGCAGCCATGAGTCGCGGTCGCGGTCGCGGGGCACGCGCGCCCGCCCGGCCCCCAGCGCCCGGCTCCTGCGGATGCTGCTGCGGCCGCCCCGCCGCCGCCGGCTGCCTGCTGCTGCTCCTTGTGGGTGAGTTGCTGATCCCACACAGACAACATGCAAAATTATACTTCGCTTTTTATGTAGTCGCCGATTACATTAGCTCATTGTTACACCTCCTGCTTTATGGATATTTTTAAATGAATATATTTAATGAATTCGCGAACGTCTTTCTCAACGAGGATCGTGGCCTCAGAAATGTGCTTAACCATGTAAAAAAGAATCATTTTATAAGGCAGGGCGTAACAATGTCGTAATGTCATCGGCCAGTATAGAAAAATCGAAGTATAAAATTTCGATGTCAACAATATATCGACCACAATCCATGGACCTTTTTTCACAACGATGTTTCAAAGTTTGATTACTAACCTCTAACATTAAATTCGTTCGCAACAAAATTGAATATCACAGTTGCCGAACATATTACTTTATAATTAATATTTAAGCGAAAGCAAAGTTAAAAACGCCTCTCCATGTGCAAAATAGAAAAGATGGGGGAAATACTAAGACACCAGCTTCATTTCGGGTGAGGATGCTCGATGAAGGTAATACGAACTGCGTTCGTTTGGTTCGAGCACAAACACACTCGTACTATCAGTTGCTATTCATATTTTAAATTTTACAAAATTGGGATTATGGATATAGTTTATTCATACAAGAAACTCGAAAACGCAGAAACATCGAAACAAAAACAACGGCTTTAATACATCAATGTTTAAAACATCGATATTTTTATAGAAACATCGATGTTTTCAAAACATTGACTTCGAGATTGCCTCCCTAGAGTGCAATGGCTAACCGTCAAAACGGGTTCTTCTGACCTCGCATTTCTGCTTTGTCACAAACGAAAAAGTGCTGCTATTCCACAAATATTCTCGCATTATTTGTATTTTTTTCAATTTTCACCAAATTGGACCTGCGCCAAATTTTTAAGTTTACTTCACATGTATTTCTACACGTATCTTAGAAAAAATTACATATTTTCGAGCCGGTTATGAGAAAATGTTTTTAAAATTGCTTTTGTTTCACACAAAATTACGCGAAAACTACTAATATTTTAAAAAAATGCAACTCGATTTCACTTAAAGACCTAATTTTGAAGAATATATTTCTTTAAAAAAGGTCTCCATCACCAATATTGCAGTTGTCGGTAATGTCGACAAAAACGTAACTTCGGCAATGACGCTATCTTTTAATTTTTTTCATATTATGTGCAAAAGTATACATGTTTATAGTATTATAATTATATATGGTATTGTAATCAACTTATAAAATTATATTATTAGTATATGTAATAATAATAAAACAAAAGCAATGTGGAATATAGTAAAAAATTCGATCAAATCCACCACCCCACCCTTATTTCGAACCTCCTTCTCTGATCCTTCTCCCGTTTGAATTAATGAATGAGTGGTTCTGCTCGCGAAAAAATGCAGGAGCTATTGTCCAGAGAGACGTATTCAAAGTGGATCAAGCAGTAGTGAGTGACTATTTTAAAATTTCAAACACATGATTAGAAAATTTCAAATCATGCTAAAAATCCATCTATCTCACCGTCCTTACGTTCTCTACCCCCATCCTTATTTCGAACCCTCTTACCTCCTCCTCTGATCCTACTCCCGTTTCTCCCATTCCCACTACCAATTGACCTACACATGATGCCCCAATTTCCTCATAACTTGTCACAGGGACACATTACAACCTTCGACCACGCACTCGAGGTAAAAATGGAGTAGATATATAGCAACTACAGTCAGATGCAGTAGAAAAACATCCGTGTAGGTACTTACAAAAGATAAACACACTACACCATACAGTTCAATCCGATTCAATTGAAACTGTGTTTATCGAACCAGCTTTAAAGAGCGATTTAAATCAAACGGATGTTCTTTTCTTCACAAAACATTGGTTATTTCATAATGAATTTAGCGTTTTCCAAATTCCAAATTTTATCTCGCAGGCTATTATTGTAGAAAAAAGGAATCGCATAAAGGTACTGCATATGGAGGTTCTTGCATTTACGTTAGAAACAATATCGATTATATCTCCGAGACGGAATTAAATGTGTATTCGGTTAAAATTATTTTTGAAATATTTGCAGTACATCTACCTTCGCAACAATATGAATTACTTTCCATATACAGACCTCCAACAAAGAGAGCAGTAGATTATATTATGTTCTTATAAAAACTGGAGATAACACTAATCTCAATCGGTCTTTTGAAACCACTGTTGTATTCAAAGATTTTAACTTTGATTTTCTGGTCGAATCTTGAGAGAAAGAGCAGTTTCGCAACTTCAATTCATTCCTTCAATTTAGATATTACAATAAATGTACCAACACGGATCATACTAAATTCAAAGAAGACTATCGATCAAGTAATAGTTAACAAAACCACTGATATGAAATTTCATCAATTGCTTGCTGCAAGAGTCGTGGAACGCGTTTTACAATGCTGTAGTAGGAACCGATGAATATAATTTTGTTTCAACGCTTTTATTTCATTTTAACACTTGCATTCCTCTTCAAAAATAAAATTAAATATTTCACGGAATAGCAATTCTCGGATTACACAAGGGACTAGGACATCATGAAAAACCAAACGATTAATTTTTTTTCATTTCTAATATCAAAACGCATCTAACAATTTCCACCTCTACTTTAAAAAATACAAATCATTGTTAAGAAAAGTCATAAGGCAGGCTAAAATTATGAAACATGATTAGGATATATTGAACCCAAATAATAAAACAAAAGCAATGTGGAATTTAGTAAAAAATTCGATCAAATCCACTAGAAACCTTGTAGAGAATGTTATTGTACAAGATAACGATAAAAAGTGAACGATCCGGCAACAGTGGCTAGTCTCTTTAACCAATACTTTGCGAAAATTGCTGCCGATCTGACTAAGGGTCTTCAACCACAAAATTCAACATCCGACGTTCCCCAAAAATTTTAGTCACAATGTTCGTTTCCGAAACTTCTTCCGATGGTATTCTCAAAATAATCTATAGACTAAAAACATATATATTCCGCTGGTTTAGATGAATTTCCGGATGGTTTGTTAAAGACATGTGTGCCCGCTATTATACACCCGTTAACTCACATATTTAATGCATCCTTACGCAGTGGAATTTTTCCAGATATTTTTAAAACAGCTAAGATTAAGCCGCTTTTCAAAAAAGGCAACAGATATAAAATTCAAAATTATTGGCCAATTTCTCCTATGTCGTTGTTTTTTTCAAAAATTTTAGAGAGACTTTTTTACGTACGAATGGAAAGCTTTCTTAGTAAACACGACTCGTTTTCAAATTGCTGGCAAGAAACAGCGATATTTTCTTTTCTTAAAGATGTCGCCTCATTCATGGAAGAAAACGTAGCATCTATTGAAATATTTTCAGATATTTCAAAAGCTTTTGACATCATTGATCATAACATTTTACTTTCAAAATTACCTTCGTGTGGGATTTGTGGTATAGCTCTAGATTGATTATGTTCGTACCTTAAACAACGATCTTAAAGAGTAGAAATACCTTCTTGGAATAATGGAACAGTATGTACACTCCTTTTTGCTTCTTTGCCAATTGCACGAGTCCCGACGGGATCTATTTTAGGCCCTATTATTTTCCTACAATACGTAAACGGTATCCCATCGACGATTAAAAACGGAAGAACAGTTATCTTTGTGGATGATACGAATATTAATTGCAGTAAATAGACCGTAAATAGTACAATATCAGATATTTTAAATTGATTCCGTAATAACAAATTAATAGTAAATGAAAAGAAAACAGTTGCGATGCACGTTTCCATTTCAAATAAACAGCTCTGTTCTCCATTGAAAATAAACTGTATACCATTGACTGATGTTAAGGTAACAAAATTTTTACGCCTTTCAATTCAGTCAAACTAAATGGAACGTCAATATAAATGAATTGGACACTAAATTAAGTTCTTTATGCTACGCATTCAGAATTCTTTCAAATTTAGTCTGCCGCCATACTGCTTATTGTGTATATTTCTCGAATGTACATTTTCACCTGAGATGCGGCATAATATCTGGGGAGATACATCTTATAGTTCCCAGACTTTTCGATTACAAAACAATTGTACGAATAATAAATAAATCCTACCCTCGTAATTCTTGTTACCCTCTCTTTATTAATCTAGGTATTTTACCATTACTTTGTCTCTTGATATACGAATCTTGGTTTTGTCAACAATGACTTACTTAAGGGCGGGAATATATTTTCAGCAAACGCTGATATCTACGTATAACCACAACACTCGACGAAGTAATCATATTCATCAGGTGACAGTATCAACAGCTCACTAGAAAAATTCACATATACTCTTAATACATGTAAAAGTCCCAAGTAAAATCTTTTCTGCTACACAACTGTTTCTATACAATTAGAGAGTATACTGGATATTCAGAATGAAAGTCATATTAATTTTAACAATGACAGTTAATGTATTATTTACCACTTGGATTGAAAAATTCTAAAGAACCTATAATAAGTATTGTACTTCAACTGCTGGATCAATGACCCCATTCTTGATCAAGTTTTCGTCCAGTTTCCCTGATCCTTGAACAAATTCTGAGTTGGCCCCTTGTTTTGCTTCTAGACACAACAGGAACTTCAAATTAACTTATCCACATCGCACGTCACACACAGTTTTTAATTGTTTTTTTACGTAAATAATAATAATAATAATAATAATAATAATAATAATAATAATAATTAAACAAACACTTTTCACATTATTTCTAAATTTGCAATTTTCGAAAATTCAGAGTTCTACGAAAATCAGACCTTTGTTATTCTTTGTTCTATCAGTCGAAGAAATTCTGAAGAAAAAAATGTATTGTGTTACAGGGTTAATTTTTTTTGATTTTCGAAAATTCAGAGATTTTATCAGAAATGAGACAAGTACAATTTTTTTACCGTCTTTTAATAATTATGAGAAGAAATTTTAATGAAAAAAAAGTGAAGCCATATTGAAAATAGCTGTTTAAAAAAATTAC